ATTCCCTTCATTCCTTCTTCCTTTTTTCTCCCTTTTCCCTTTTATATCTTTTCCTTTAACAACTCTTTACCAATGACCCCCCTTGTGCCTGGTCCCGTTCTATATCCTGGAAATGTAGCAGAGAACAAACAAGTATCTCACCACCATTCTAGTGAGGAATGCTGGAAATCAAACAAACACACACAGATAATGTTAGATGGTCATAAATGCAGTGGAGTAGAAGCAGGATAGAGGTATCAGTGACACTTAAAGTCTGTTAATGATAGCTTCAGAGATGAAGACTGAAAATTGACTGCTGAATTCAGAAACACAGAGGTCACCATTGACCTTGACAAGAACTACTTTGATGGAATAAAGGAGTAAAAGCTTAATTAAAATGATTAAAGAGAGTGGGGGCTGGAGAGATAGCTCAGCGGTTAAGAACACTGTTGCTGCAGAAGACCCGGGTTTGAATCCCAGCACCCACATGGCAGCTAACAACTGTCCGTAACTCCAGTTCCAGGGGATCCGACAGTCTCTTCTGTCCTCCTCAGGCATTGCATGACACGGGTGCACTTACCTTTATGCAGGCAATACACGCATACACATAAAATAAAAATAATAAATAGAATATTTTAAAAAATGATTAAAGAGAAAATGAAAGAGAGTGATCTGTAGACTCAGTGCAATCCCAGTCTCAATTTTTTTTTCAGCAGTTTTGTAGAAATGAACAAACTAATTTTAAAATTTACACGGAAATGCAAGGATGGCCAAAGCCATCTTGAGAAAGTATAACAAAGTTGGAGAACATAAAATTCACTTGATTTTAGGGATGTATCATTGAGATATAATAATTACAAAAGCCAGGGCTGGAGAGCTGCTCAGCAGTTAAGAGTGCTGGTTGTTCTTGCAGAAGACCCAGGTTCGAATCCCAGCACCCACATGGTGGCTAACAACTGTCTGTAACTCCAGCTCCAGGGGATCTGATGCTTTCTTCTGTCCTCCACAGGCATTGCATGACATGGATGCACTTACATAGGTGCAGGCATAACATTCATATACATAAAATAAAAAATAAATTAAAAAGTGTTCAAAAAATAATTAAGAGGAGGCTGGAGAGATGGCTCAGCAGTTAAGAACACTGGTTGTTCTTGCAGAAGAGCCAGGTTTGAATCCCAGCACCCACATGGCAGCTAACAACTGTAACTCCAGTTCCAGGGGATCTGACAGTCACTTCTGTCCTCTGCAGGCATTGCACAACAGGGGTGCACTTACCCACATGCAAGCAATACACACATACACATAAAATAAAAATAATAAAATATTAAAAAATAATTAAGAAAGTCTTGTATTGGCTGAAGGGTAGACACATAGACTAGCAGAACAGACCAGAAAGTTTAGATTATAGATCTGTTCTTCTACAATTAAATTAGCACTACAATTAAAGCTGGGGACCAGTTAGAGAGCTCAGAAGGTGAAGGCACTTGCTGCTAAGCCTGATGATCCAAGTTCAATTTCCAGAGCCAAAATGGTGGACATCACTAATGTAAACCAAACAATCAGTGGAAACAAACCCAGGGACTCTATAGGATCTGATGGTCATTGCCTCCACATTATGATATTCAAATTTCTGCCCTTTTAAATTACAATAGCCAGGGTCTGGAGAGATGGCTCAGCAGTTAAAAGCACTAGCTTCTCTTGCAGAGGACTTGGGTTCAATTCCCAGCACCCACATGATGGCTGACAACCATCCATAACTCCAGTTCCAGGGAATCTGATGCCCTCTTCTGACCTCTGCAGGCATTGCATGACATGGGTGCACTTACATACATGCAGGCAATACACTCATACTTATAAAAAATAATAAAATATTAAATTACAATAGACAAAGAAATACAAATGTATGGTTCACATGTAGGAAAAATAAGTGAGCAGAGAATGTTTCTGAGGAAATCCAAAATTGGAAATGTTGGGCAAAAACTTTAAATCAACTATTTAAATATGGAAGGCACTATTTAAATATGATGGTACGCTAACCACTGTAGCATCAATGCCTCAGCAAAAAATATGTTCAAATGGCTAAAGGAAACTGTGTACAAAACACCAGAGGGAATACTGAGGCTAAGGTATCGCTAATAGTGACTAAAGAGGTAGAATGTATAAAATTAGGAAGAGAAACCAAATAGAGTAAACAGGTAAAATAACTGAAATAAGGGATTTACTAAAGGGCTGGGCTGGAGAGATGGCTCAGTGGTTAAGAACACTGGTTGTTCTTGCAGAAGACCCGGGTTCAAATCCCAGCACCCACATGACAGCTAACAACTGTCCTAACTCCAGTTCCAGGGGATCCAACAGCCTCTTCTGTCCTCCGCGGGCATTGCACGACACGGATGCACTTACCTATATCCAGGCAGTACATGCATACACATAAAATAAAAATAACAAATAAAATATTAAAAAGAAAGAATTCACTAAAGGGAAATAATCACAGATTTGACCATACCAAAGAAGGACCAAGGAACTTAAAAGTGGGTCATTTGCGAGTACTCAGTTGGGAATCTGAAAGAAAAAGTGTAGAGAAAATGCATAGGACATAGGAATCCCGTGGGACACTACTGAGCAACTTAGTTTTGGTGTAATAGGAGTCCAGGAAAGACAGGAGAAAGAAAAGAGGCAGAAAGAATGGGCAATGGACAAAATGTCCCAATGCTGAAAGCCGTGACTACACACATCTAAGAATTTCAACAAACCCCTGGCAGCAAAAGCTCAAAGACCACACAGTGGCACATCATTATCTAAAATCAAAGACACAAAAGAACTTCATGGAAACAAGAAGAGAGAAGACACTTGTGATATAGAAAATATCTTCAATATGATTAACATTGGATTCATCAAAAGAAATAATGGAGGTCAGAAGGCTTTAGGATGACATATTTAAAGGGTTAAAAGGAAAAGTAACCAAAGCCCGCTAATCAAGATTTGGTATATCGTAAAATTATCCTTCACGAATGAAGGAGAAATGGTTACATTTCCAATGAAACAAAAATTGAGCTTGTAGCTATAAAATATGCTTGACAAGAAATGCTGAAGGGAATCCTTTTAAGACTTTTAAGCTGAAACAAAAGAACGGTAGGAAGCATTGCAAATCCCCATGAATGGATACATAACATCAGTAAAACTGTGTAAGTAAATATGGAAACCATTATTAATGCAGTTTTGTTTATAACACCTCCTTTCCTAAATGACAATTAAGTAAAACAATTGTAAATGTGATATTATGACACAATGTATAGAGATATTATTTAATTTTTTTAATTGCATAAATAAAAGTTTTAATGGCTTCAAAACTAAATTGTTGTTAATTTGAACTGAATTATAGATTATTATAAGTTAAGGTATAAATGACAGTTTTAAAGATTAATTTAGAAAATAATGAAAATACATGGTAAAAGAAGAGGCAAATCAAAATGATGTGCCAGAAAATGTCTCACATAAAAGAAGCAGTAATGAAGGAACAGAAAAACCAAAATGTAGTAAGATACACAGAAAACCAGTACCCAAGTAATAGAAATCAGTCTTTCCTTGCCAGCAATTGTATTAAATGTAAATGTCTAATCTCTCAAAAGGCAAAGATTGCAGGAGGGATTATAGAAAAGATGATGCATGCTATTTATAAGAAACTCACTTTAGAACCAGGCATACAAATTGGTTGAAAGTAAAAGAATGGGAAATATATTCAATGCAAGCAGTAAGAAAAAGAGAGCTGTATTGCTGCATAAATCAGGCAAGTAACTCTTAGGACAAAAATTGTGACAAGTCACTGGGACGGATGTTGTAAAAGGGTGATTCCACCATGAAGATACTATAATTATAAATACATATGCAAACCTATATGCACCTTACAACACAGCCACAAAATACGTGAAGAAAAAGTGACAGCAAAAGCTTGAAGGGGTAGTTTTGTTTTAATAGTTTAATACTTTAACATTTCACTTCAATAACAAAACAGTTATCCAAAATATAAAGAAGGAACTATAAGACTTAAATAATAATATAAATAAGCCAGATCTAACAGACACATAAAGAACATTAAATCCAGGAACCATTGAATTCCATATTTTTCTAAAGTGCACACGTAATGTCCTCCAGGATAAACCAGATGTTAAGCAACAAATCAGGTATCAGTAAATGTAAAAGACTAAGTTATCAGCAAATGTAATAGACTAAAGTGGAGTGAAATCAGAAATCAACAAAAGGAAATATGGAAACACACATAGAAATTAAGCAATATTTTTATATTAAAAATTATTCCAAAATATACACAACAAAACATTTACTATTTTAGCTATGTTTTTACTGGGTATGTATGTGTTCATGATGTGTGTGTAGGCATGCATGTGATGATATGTATG